ACGTCGTCTTCACCGCTCTAGAGAAACGAGGATCACCCCTGCACAGACAGAGATGAAGAACCCATGCAAAAGGCAAGGCCACACTGGACAACCACAGATGCTATGATGGCCACATAACCATGAGCATCACTGGGCAACCAATTGCGATGGTTCCCCTATTTTCTCATAGCTTCCTCTAGTAGCCCCTAGATTAAGAGCCCCTGGTGCATCTAGTTTCATAAGGAGACTTACCCGAAGAGCCTTCTCCCAACATCACCACCAGAGTCGGAGGTGCAGGGGAAGGGCTCCATGGCGCTAGAAGCATTTAGAGCAATGAGAGGCGTTCACTAGATCTAAAGTGCTCAAGGAAGGAGTGGTCCAAACCCAAGAGGCACGCATTGCCCCAAGTTTTATAACCTAGCCTTGAAGATAGAGGAGGTGAACCGATCAGTCAAGATCCGTGACTCATGCGGGTCACAAGCGCAAGATTCATGGCAGGGAAGATGAGGCACATTGGATTCCCTAGCTCACACATCCTTATCTATAATAGGACTTAATGATGCACAATAACTGGAAGACCAAAGACTGCATTGGCGTGCAGGCACTTGGAGGGTTGAGCTCTTGATGGGCTCATCTTAAAAGTATTTGGTATGCAGGCACTTGAAGGATTGAGTCATTCAATTGGCTCATCATCAAAGTGTTTTGGGGCTACTATCGGTGATATGGACCCAGGGCACCTCATCGTCTAAATAACAACCCATTATATTAGGGGTTGGCCGAAGCTGGCGAAGATGAGGCTCAACCGAACCAGGGCACATCATCAGACGTGGCAGACAAGAAAATAGGCAGATGTGTCTTAGAAGCCATGTCATTTAGGGAATAGCTGATTATGTACCTAGATTTCCTTGTAACAAACTAGGAAACTCATATGTAAACCAATCGCCTCTATCTATAACCCTACCTCCCGAGGTATATAAGACAAGGTAGGGAGCACCCAATCGGCACGTCCTATTACTTGATCATAGATCACAACAACCATAGGCAACTAGTCATCAGCACCCCTGTAAACACCGAGTATATGAGGTAGAGAGATCTATTCTCAACTAGATATAGGGTATCTCGGTACTTGAACCAGTATACATCTATGTCCCATGTGCTACCCTTCTGATTTCATGTGTGCGATAAGCTAATCCAAATTTCTAGAGCCGATACCTCCGGCAGTAGTGATGCATGGTTTAGGCTTAGCAATGATAGAGACTAGTGCTAGAAGATGGAGCAAGAATGAAAGGATCAAGACGCCCAAGAGGGGGGTGAATTGGGATAATCTAAAATTCTCATGAAATTAAAACCTTGCACTTAGCCCATTTCACCCCTCTGCTTAAATGTGTTTCTATCTTACGCACAAGTTTTGCAATATAGTTCCAACCCTAAACTAATAGGGCAATTCTAGGAATGTAGAGACAAGTAAGTAATGCACAAATGAAGACTCTCAAAGTAAACAGAGGGTTAGAAACATGATGATGTTTTCCAAGGTATTAGAGAGCCAGCACTCCCCATTAGTCCTCGTTGGAGCACCTCGCACGGTATAGCTCCCCCATGATTCGTCCAAAGACCAAGTGCTCTCTACGATCTGATTCTTCACCACTTTGGCATGGTGAATTGCCGACAATTGCTCACAACATGACTTGGGTCTCCCACAATCGCATCCGAGAGATCACCAAGCTTCCAAGCACCACCAAGCCGTCTAGGTGATGCCAATCAAAAAGAGTAACAAGCACAAACTCTGACTTGACCTAACCAAGCCTAATGAGAAGAGTGGATGCACATCTGCTACTTTTAAGCACTAATGGACTCCATAATTTTGAATTTTGAAGTCCAAATCACTCAAATATGCCAAACCTCTCTCTTTTGGACACAAATGGGTGTAGGTGGAACTTCAAGATGCAAGAGAGTCCTCTTGCACGAGATGGATGGGTATTTCATAGAGCCAATCCCCAAACTAGTCATTGTCTCTCCACTCAGTGAAGACGTGTGCACCAAAGAGCTCTGGTGCAGCACAAACCTTCACACCGGAGGGCTCCAGTGAACCTCCAACGACTAGTTTGAAAACTAGACGTTTATTGTATTGGGCCTTTGGTGCACAACACCGATGTGTACCGGAGAGCACCAGTGCGCGCCAAATCCATTTGCAAACCTTGTTGTAACACCTGTCTGGTCGGCAGCTACGGTGCCCCACTGGAGAGTTGCAGTGAGAGCACTTCTTGCCAAGACCAGAAGAGATAGGCTCACTGTGGTCAAGCTACGGTGTGCACCACTGATGCACCACTAGAGATCAATGTGTTGGCGCCAATTTTCTATTTGAAAGCCATCCTTGTTGCAGCTCTGTGTGCCATTTGGTTGGAGAGCTCCTATGAGTACTAAAAACCACCAAACTCATCCAATTCAAAGACCTTTGAGTTTGGTTTTGATTCCATTGATCCTTGGGTTTCATTTGAGCTACCTAGTGCTAGTTTTACAAGTGTGCATCACATCCATTCACTAGACTCTACTAGGTCACCCGTTCATAACCCCCCCCTTATAGTATGGCCAAATTATGGAAAAGCAAAAGATCCTATCACTTCTCTAAGTGTCCCTCAACACGATAAACACTTATGTCGTGTTTGGTTCGTAAAAATGTAACAATATCCTATTGCAGAGGGAAATAGAAAACGATACTCATGTCTAGTTAACGTCCGACCGTTATCAGGTACCACGTAAACAGATATTGGCATATTCATGTTTGATTCCACTCCTCCCTGAGTGTTAAATCATTATAGGACAGCACTGGTGCAGCACATCTGCTCCACTTGCTCTCAATAACATTACCGCGCCCCAACCAAACAAATTAAGTAATCACTGATGCCACCACTGCTCCCTCTGTAATCCATTACCCAAACTGTTTATGTTACCGGTGAGTAAACCAAACACCATGTTAGAACTAGTTGATCCATAATCTTTGCGCTCGTCCTTTGGAAACCGAACTGAGTACCACCATCAATTAGGGGCATGAAAACCATAATTGGCCATCATCAATCATCATTGTGACCTCACTAAAGTAATGACACTGTAAAGCACACGTTAGTCACAATGATCGTGTCATCATTAATCGGCAGTACCGAATTAGGGGCCTAGTCACCTAGATGCTTTCAGTGTAGTATCACAACTATCATTATTAAAGCACAAGTTAGTCACAATGATTGTATCACCATTAATCGACAAAACCGAATTAGGGGCCTAGTCGCCTAGATGCTTTCAGTGTAGTATCACAAATATCATTATTACTCTTGTTGTAAGTCTTTTAATTAGTAAATCATGCTGTGTTAACACTATAATGAGAAGAAAGGGCAGAGCGAGGTTTAGACACGGAAACGTATCAAGTTCAAATGTGGCGTGGGTAGTGGCCGTTGTGTGTAATTATTTCTCCAATAGTTTCTGTCTTGATTTTGAACAAATTAGTCCGATTTGGAATAGACAATGATGATAATAAGTTCTAATATAGATGCATGCAAGGAGGAAGTGTATGGGAGGGAATACTGCCTCGAGCCAGAAATAGTGTTGTTTTAATTTTGGAAGTTATCAGTTAATTAAACTTTCACTGCTCCTTTTATTATATAAATATATAAAACTACAGAATTGCTATCTGGTGCCCGGTTGTTTCATCTGGCTTCTGCACCCGAATTTCTGGCCGTGCGAATTCGCATCATGAGGCAGGCGTGACAAGCGTGGGCACTGATACATGCAGAGGGAGGAAGGGCAACCGCATGCAGCCGCGCGTCAGGAGGCAGGCGGGGGACCGGTTTAGCTTGCTGAGAGAGGAAGGGCGTGGAACCCATGCGCATGCGTGTTAGGAGGCAGGCGGCGCATGCATCCGCGTCGAGGAAAGGCTTGACGAGCAACGTTTTGGTATGCACATTTGTGAAAAATTTGACATATATTTCTCTTATATCTACAATCCATAGACATAATTTGTAATTTTTTCTGAAAAGTTTGTTATATATTTTTCTGAGATCTGCAATAAATAAATTACACTGATGAAATCATTGTAAATATAGTAATATGACAGTGTAAATATAGTTATAATGCATGGACAAAATTCAGTTGTTGCCTAGACAGATTCTAAAACTATATATTTGAAGACCAATCTACTCGTATTATTTCCAAAGCATTCAAGCTCAAAACGTAAAAAGTATTCCGTAATCAACAAAGTTTGGTTGACTTAAGATAAACTTAAAACATTACCTATCTTTTACTTGAGGGAGGCAACTGACAAGTGGTTCCGATCCCAAATTTCTTAACCTCTTTGAGTTGTTTGAGACACTTCCGCCTTGTTTAGATGCCATCCAAATTCCAAGTTTTTTCACTCTCTCTCCATCACATCAATTTTTAGCCGCTTGCATAGAGTATTAAACGTAGGTAAAAGAAATAACTAATTACATAGTTTAGTTGGAAATCACGAGATGAATCTTTTGAGCCTAGTTGGTCTACGATTGGATAATATTTACCAAATAAGACGAAAGTGGTACTATTCATCGGGTTCACTTTTTTTTGCAAAGTGAACGAGGCCTTCATTTAGCACCAGACCTTAGCTAGCTTGCTTCATAGTACTGTACAAGCCAACCACCATGCATGCATATTGTACTCTCGTGCTTTGACTCGGCAGTCCATACATCACTTGTTATTGCTGACACGATACACGTCGACACACACGTACTCCTGCAAGTGTAATAATTCCCTACCTCCCCGTACAGACAAGAGGCCAAAAAGGTCAAACAACAAAGTTATCCTCTTGCAATAAGTACGTACTCCTATACTTTCAACATAAAAAAAAGGGTCTTTGACTACATGCGTGATGCGCCGCGCGTCTGCCGGCCGGTCATCGCCTTCATGCGTCGTGCCACCGCCGCGCAATCTCTCTCAAGCGCGCCTTCTTAGTTCTTAGTACTTCAGATTACCTTCTCAGTGCATGCCCCGTGATTTCTTCATCACTCGTTTCTGATATCACTACTAGTGGCAGTCGATGATGACATCTCGACGTTGCTCGAGGTCTTCTTCTCCTTGCCGGGCGACGACTGCTGGTCGCTGTCGTCGGCCATGTTGGGGATGCCGAAGAGGTCGCCCATCTGCTCCAGCGTGCGGCCGCGTGTCTCGCGGAGGTAGGTGAAGAAGAAGACCCAGGCGAGCGAGGCGATGCCCGCGTAGAGGAAGAAGCTGCCTCCGATGGTGATGCCCTTGGACAGCGACAGGAAGGTCATGGAGATAACCCCGCTGGTGACGCGGTTCACGCCGACGCCGAGCGCGCACCCGAGCGCGCGCAGGTGAAGCGGGAAGATCTCGGAGCTGTACACCCACGTGATGGGGCCGAGCCCGATGGAGAAGAAGGCCACCACCCCGAGGATGGAGGCGATGCAGACGCCGATGGCCCAGGGGATGGTGGTGCCCTCCGGGTGGTGGCCGATCACGGTGAGCCCGAACCCGAGGCCGACGAGGCTGACGATCATGCCGCCGGTGCTCGTCAGCAGGAGAGGCCGGCGGCCGAAGCGATCCAGCGTGAACGTGGCCACCAGGATGAAGACCGTCTTGGTCACGCCCACGGCGCACGTGGCGCCCAGCAGCTTGTTCTTGTCGGTGATGCCGGCGCTCTGGAACACGCGCGGGCTGTAGAGCACCACCGAGTCGATGCCCGACGACTGCTGGAAGAAGTGGATGCCGAGCGCCGACAGGAGCACGCGCCGGACGGCGGGCGTCGGGGACAGGATCAGCTCCTTCCACACGCGCTCCTCGCCGCCGGTCCTCTTGGCCACGGCGACGACGTCCCCGTCGAGGTCCGCGGGGATGCCGGCCGCCTCCTTGATGTCCGCGAGCCGCAGGGCGGCCTCCTCCGGCGTGTCGGAGGTCTTGCCGAGCACCACTTTGGCGTCGGCGAGACGGCCCTTCATGACCAGCCACCGCGGGGACTCGGGCAAGCCGAGCACCATGAGCCCGAGGACGACGGAAGGCGCGGCGCCGATGCCGAGCATGAGGCGCCAGCCGAGCTTCAAGCTGAGGTGGGAAAAGGCGTAGTTGGAAACGTAGCCGAGCAGGATGCCTAAGTTGATGAACACCTCGGGGAAGGAGGTGAGGAACCCCCGTGATGACGCCGGCGAGACCTCGGCCGTGTAGACGGGCGCGATCATGAGCGCGTAGCCGACGCCGATGCCCGCCACGAACCTGCCAGCCATGAGCATGGGGTAGTTCACCGACAAGCCCATCATGAGGGCCCCGACGAAGAAGATGACGGCCGCGAGGATGATGGTGAGCCGGCGTCCGATCCAGTCGGAGGTGCGCCCTGCCGCGAAGGAGCCGATGAGCGAGTAGAGGTTGAGGATGCCGAGCAGGACCTCCACCTCCACGTCTGAGATCTTGAGATCCTCCTTGATGAACAGCGCCGCGCCGCTCATCACCCCGATGTCTAGAAAGCACGTATAAGTAACATGAAGACAGTCACTAGCTAAAACATCATCATGCACGTACTTCACCAGCAATTTTACTACATGACTTTTAATTGACGGCCAGAGGAAACATCAAACGTCTATATATACATAATTACATATACTTCGATGAATGAAGAATATATATGTACCGTAGCCGAGAAGGATGGAGGTCATGGAGGCCAAGATGGCGCAGGCAAAAGCGAACCGGACGTTAGTCTTCTTCCGTGGCGGCGCGACACCGTCCGGGAGGCCATCTTTATGCTGTTCTGCCATTGTTACCTTTGGCGGCTTGAGATCACTTACCGTGCACACACTGCACTTGGATCAGGCTACTGCTAGGTAGTGGTGTACAAGGTTTTACATGTCCCTAGCTAGCCAATGAGCAAAAGAAGGTGTGAAGGGGCGTGCATATATAGGCCAGTGGGCCAAAAGCTGGATATGTGAACACCACCGATCGATCATCAGAGAGGGACTGTTTCCGTGTCAACTTTGATGTTTGAGGATGAAACATATAATACCAGGAATAATTGTGTAGCCTGCTGCTGGGAAGAATTGGTTGTTGAAGACATCTCTGACTTTCATGGCACAGAGAAAAGGTACTTTTTAAACTTGAAATTGAAAATAAAAGAGTAAAGCTAAACTTCACTGCAGTTATTCAAAGCTTCCTCTCACTTGAATTTTTCTGACCAATCTAAGTATGCCATGATGTCCTTCTTCCCTAACGCCGGCAAGATTAGGGTGTGGGGTTAGGGTTCAGGGTTCAAGGGGCTTACCTATATGTTTGTCGGGCTTAGAGGGATTGCTAGGGGAGGTCGCTTGCCCGACGGTGGTGGAGGTTGTGTTTCCGGCCGAGCAGTGGGGCAAGGAGGTTTCGGGTGTGGCAAGGGCAGGGGCGTCATGCTGATAGCCCGAGAAAGCCGGGTTAGTCGTCTGACGGTGGTGGAGGCATAGCGGGGCATCGCCGGAGACGGGCAAGAGGTAGGTGAAGCTTGGCCGGAGATGAATAAGACGACGGCAAAAAGGCACACCAGATAAATTTTAGCATCGGGCTGTGGCGGAGAGGCGGGGGGGGGGGGATGGCTTGCCCAGGGTCAGGGCTAGGATGGTGCCGTTGGAGGAAGAACATAGGGAAAGAAGATAAGATAGAGAGAGGGAGATTTGATGTGGGTCCTCTATTCAAGATCTAAGGGTCGAAAAATTGGGAGATAATACTTAATTGTTCCTTGACAAACTTAAAGAAAATGTAATAGAGGAAAATATTTGGTGATGCTAAAATTTAAACAGTAACTTAAGATGATTTCATAAAATTAACGTGGCTTAAAGTGGAAACATGTTATAGATAAAACAACATGAGAAAAACGACTACCAGAACCATGAACTCATGTACTTCTCTGAACCGATAGAACTATTTCATGGATTCACCAAAATAGATAAAAAAGAGAGTTGTTATGTTTCCAGTAACTAAAATGCATGTTAACAGCTTTTAGTCACAACGGGTACCAAAATTTATAATTAATATCTATAATATCATAGAACAAAGCGTTGAAATGGGAGCTATATATCTCACTCCCGTCTAATTCTTCGTGGGAAAAAAATTCTGCAACTTCTGTATTAATTTGTTTCATGTTTCATTTGACGAACATTTATAGTATATATAAAAAATGTACGCAAAATGTATGTACTAAAACATTGAAATTAACATTTCAATCAGGAGTTGTGAAAAAAATAATTTGGATGGCCGCGCCCCATAGCTAGCTAGCCTATACAATGTAACCACACCTGCTGTCTCAAGTTACAAAACACTCCATGGATAACCCTAGTTTAATAGCTAACGGACACGAGGGTCGTCAAGGATACAAGCGATTCCTTATCTGAAGTATAAATCCAAAAGATTCGCTGTCACATTCGTCAAAGCTTAGCCATGCACGGAGAACGACGGAACCACACAGCCCATCACAGGTCTCCAGGTGTGCACGACCGCAACTACAAAACTCCCTTCCCATTTAGTCTCTACTTGCGGCCCATGCATGTTAAACAAAACCAAGCAAAGCTAATCCACACACGCCTGTATATCATTGATGCGCACATCTGGATAGTAACAACGACAACACACAGGACACGCAACAATTTGATCCTTTGATCATGCATATCATAAAACCATTTCCTTTCTTTATATTTTCTTACAAAAATATTTATCTCCCTTCGCCATTAATTGTTAATTGTTCTAGCATGTATGGAAATTTTTTACCTTATTCTACAGCTTGGAGTACATCTGTGGATTTCTAACCTTATATGCGCAATACATATAATTATATAATTGGAAATACTTCATTACTTTAAACGCAAACTGTAAGCCGCAACCCCACGCCAACTCCGTCTGTCGCTGCCTTCGCCAGAGAGTTAGGGCGACAAAATTAGCGGAGGGCGGGAGCAGTGGGCAGAGGTGGACGGTGGTAGGCGATGCCACGCATCGCCAGTGCCGTGGGCGGTGGTGAGAGGCAGTGTTGGGCGGGGTTACTTGGTCACGTCGTAGCACCACCTGTCGCGTGATAACCTACTTAAAAATGTTGCTTTGACTATACTGAGCTGTCCGCGTGCTATTTCCATGCTATTAGTAGTAGTACTGCACACGTCTTCCTTGTGCCTGGACTTTTTCAACATTGTGTGATAGTGTCTCCCTGCTTAGTGGACCACCTGTCTTTAGGCTCACTGATTTACAGTCACGTGTTGGTGAATACACGTCAGGAGTCGACCGACAGGACGACTCGACAGGAAAGATGACTGTTTCCTGATGGCTAGCCGACAGGATATATTTCGTGACGGCAGTTCCTGACGGGTGTGGTTTGACCAGTCAACTCAGAAAGCTAACCTGACTGCACCGCCGTCAGGAATTCCCGACAGGAAATAACAACCGACAGAAAATGTCTTGACCATTCCTGACATTCAACCGACAGGAAAAAAATGTTCAGTCCGACAGGAAACTGAATTTGGCAGTATAAAATTGATATGCATCAGGGACATAATCTATCATTTCTACAAATTGATTTGACCACTCACAAAACACAGTACACATTGAAGCAACAAGTAATCCATCAAGAACATGTAATTCATCACATTCATGTGCCAAAATCCAAACACCAACATATTAATTGTTTGCAACACTAAGAATACAACAATATGACAGGTAATATACTGTGGATTCAGAGCAGTATGCAAGTCAACTACAAAACAAGTCTAGCTAACTATACTAAGGTCATAGTAACCATGTCCACTACGCAAAAGCGAAGCCCAATGCTTGGAGTTGGCATCACCGAAGACAGTGACCTATAAGAAGTAGTTATAATATGTACTCCCAAAAATGAGAAACAATCTTATCTTACAGATACAAGCAAGGCAAGCAATTCATATATATAGGGCCACTAAACCTTTAAGTGACCAAGCTTTACAGAAGAAAGAAATTCTGGGAACATTCTTAATAGAGTTTGGTGCATGTAAGAGCAAAACCTTGCTGCAATATTGTGCCTAATTATTCTTCTCACGCCTATTTATTCTGTATAGAATATATATGTAGGTTTTTGAGCCTCAGCACGTACAGGATACTACCAGAAAAATGTCAGGCCTAATTTCTCATACCAATATGACCTCTTTCACATGTTTCGATGTAAATAGGGACACGAATAGGAACAAATAATACAAGGGAGGGTATTTGTACTTTTAGTTCCACCTAAGTCAACTAATACAGCATAGATGTTTTTTTTCATTATAAATATCATTGTGGTAAGTCATGCACCTGGTACTGCTTGTCTGTTGCTGCTAATTTCTCACTGTGATCATGCACCTTAGTGGTTTCTTTGTATGTATGTCCTCCAAAACACTGTCAGCTCTCTGGACACCTTCATTTGGAACACCTGCCAACAAGGGAATATGCACAAAATAGTAAATTAGACGTTCACAATGCAGACCTGAAAGGGGAAAAATGTTGCCTTGTGCAACTGATAAAGGGATATGATATCTTCATTGCTCGTTTGTCCATCGGGATTCAGAATACTCACATTTGATTATACCGCCATGGCAAGAGAGATGAACCAATCACAATGAATATCCAATCAATCATCGGAAGAATTCCAAAGCATAAGAGTATATCAATTTTCTCCCGAGGTTCACGTGCTTGCCGGCACGCTAGTCCCCGTTGTGTCGACCAATCCTTGGTGGTTCGGCGACTAATAGCTATCACACACCTAGCCAACACTTGGCACCGCAAGAACTTACCCACAAGTGAGGTAACTCAATGATACGAGCAATCCACTAGAGTTACCTTTCGGCTCTCCGTCGGGAAAGGTACAAGACCCCTCACAAATCACCGGATGATGGCCACGAACCATTACCAACTCGTGCCAATGCTCCTCCACTGCTCCAAGCTGTCTAGGTGGCGACAACCACCAAGAGAAACAAGAAATTCACAGCCACAACGATCCCCAAGTGCCACTAAATGCAATCACCAAAGCAAATGCACTTAGAATCACCCTCAATCTCACTATGATGATGAATCAATGATGGAGATGAGTGTGAGCTGTTGCTTAGGCTCACAAGGATGCATCACAGGTGAAAATGTCCAAGAGAGTGAACCCCAAGCCGGCCAAGAGCTATTTATAGAGCCCCAAAAGATAGAGCCATTGGGCAGTCGGGGGATGACCGGACTCGCCTGACCGGACGAACCCCAACGTCCGATCGGCTGCATCCGGTCCACGGATGCCGTTCACGTGGCACTGCTTTGAACACTGCTCGTCGGATTCTAATGGTCGAAACAGTCAGCGCTCACCACTTAAAGATTGACCGGACGCACAGACGCATGATAGGACGCACAGCCACTGCATCCACTCTCGTGCGTGCCCTAGCTAGTGTTGCCGAGATCGGACTCTGCGCCAAGTGGCCGAACATGCCACCAGCTAGTGTCCGATCAACTCCAGTAAGCACCCTAAGAGGGTTTTCCGTGTCCGGGCGCGTTAGGTCAAGGGTGACCGAACGCACGCCCGAGTTCGGTCCTCTATGCAACACTCGCCAAGCCACCGCGCTATTACGTCACCGTACGCCACCTGCGACCGGACGCGCCTCCATGCGCTGGTTGACCGGACGCGCCTGGGGTGAGTCCGGTCACCCCGACGCTAGAGTCCGGTCACTGTTGTCTCCTTCTTTTTTTGTTTTTCTAACACCTCAACCGCTTCGCCCTTGTTTCCAAGTTGCTAACCATAAAGTGTAGAACTTGTGTGCACGTG